GAATTCAGAACTGCTCGCAAGTTTTGTTTTTTCTTTTTTGATGGTAACCAATTATCACCTATAGATTCAAATTTCAATTTCCATTATCCGCACCCTGTTAGCATGGACTGCGCCTCCGTATCTTCATCATGACCTACTTTTTTACGATGAGTTTAGGCTCTGTTCATAGGAAGCTATGCCCAGTAAAGCTTCCTATGAGCAGAGCCTAAACTCATTGTAGAAAAGAACGACATGATGAAGAGCTGCATTTCAGGGATTTTTCAAATGAACTTCCTCCTTCAGAAGTAGTAAAATTGTATTTTAGAATATTTGGAAGTGGTGGAAGCTTCTGCAAGAAGCTATGACGTAAAATGTGCAGACAACATAGCACAGGTACGAAGAATCAGTTTCCAATATATCTACAAATTATCTCGGCGACTGGTGAAATGTGGCGGGGAATTAAGGAGTCCGAGCGCGTGGGAATTTCAACTGATAAGAATAATCTTCAGAAACGGGGTTGCGCTTAGCGCCAAAGTAAACGCCGTAATCAGTCGACAAAGTTATTCTAAATGAAGAAATAACGGAATCACAACTAATTTTTTTCAGGGATTTGACCAAATGCATCAACTGGTGCTAACAGGAAGTGGACGACAGAATCTATCAGATATCTTCTCGTGAGTACTCTGCTCAAAATACGGTAGCTCATTTAACAGCTCTCCTGTCCATACTAGAACCAAAACATACCTGAATGTTGCAAGGTCCATTTTGTCAATTAGCTTTTTTTTGAGTTTGCAGTTGCTTCATGTTGCTCATGTGCCTATGGTGCATGCAATAAATAGTAATAGTAAATAGAATCTCGCAGCGAACACACAGGTAGAAATAGAGAAGAGGAAGACGTGAAATAGCGCAGACAAGTGGCGCGTTTGGCTATGGTTAGGCGCGTGGTTGGCCGTGTGACAGCTCGCGCGGAGTATGGAGAAGATACCCTGGGTATACCCTCCATCTCGGTTCTTGTGCACTTCTGACTGAAAAAAGTGGTACGCTACTGCAGCTACGGACTCATTCTTCCCATTTATGGCAAGGACCAGGATCCATGAAAGTGACCGT